TCAGCAGGAGGACTGCTAAAGATCCTGGATGCCCATTAACCTCCCTGACGTGATACTGCACCTATTTACTACCATGAGCAGCCACCACAAAGTGAGGACCAGGCTCTGCCTTTCCAGTGAGCATCAGCTCCTCTTCAATGCAGAAGACATTTCACCTGGACCCTGCAGGTGTCAACTCTGAGCCCTGCCCTGCAGCAGAACTACATCTTACTGAAATTTGCACTCTATTTTTATACCCTTCCAATAAATGTTTCTATCAAACCTGTGGCTGCACCCTCATATGTCATCATTACTGTGGATCTTCAGGAGCAGCTGAGCAGCTCAAACTCCTTCTCCTGAGGACTCAGGTGGCTGCAGAGGGCCCAGGGCTGCTGATCAGGTGATTGGAGTCACTATTTGATAGTTGGAGTAATGTCTTCTATTTCCAGTAGCCTGGCTTGGTGAGTGCAGTCACCCCTGTCCTTCTGCCACACTGGGGTGAGTTGTTTTCATTCCTCCCTTTAGAAACCAGCCTGGGTTGTTCAGCTTGGAGAAGAGACAGCTCCAGGGAGACCTTAATCCAGCTTTTCAGTCTTTAAAAGGGGGCCTGTAAGAAAGATGGGGACAAACATTTTAGGAGGGCCTGTTGCAACAGGACAAGAAGTGACTGTTTTAAATAAAAGAGGGGAGATTTAGACTAGACAGAAGGAAGACATTTTTTACTGTGAGGGTGGTGAAACACAGGTCCAGGTTGCCCAGCAGGGGGTAGATGCCCCCTCCCCAGAAACATTCCAGGTCAGGCTGGATGGGGCTCTGAGCAACCTGATCTGGTTGAAGATGTCCCTGCTCACTGCAGGGGGGGTGGACTAGAGAAGCTTTAATGTTCCTACAACCCAAACTATTCTATGACTATAATTTTCTTCCTGACAACTCAGGCACACATTATCCCTCTGCCCAGCTCATCTGCAAAGGTTAAAATTCACTGAAAAGCTAGAGTCCAATTCTCTTTACACAACCCACAAGGGTGTCTGTGTTGCAATCACTCCCCTCTCAGCTTCCTGACAGATTTTGGCGATTGGAGGACACACATTTAGAGAGGTTGTGATTATTTCCCTCCTGGTTGCACAACAGCTCCGTGTCTCCTCCCCACCCCTGGGACACGGGTAAGTGAAATCACCCAACAACCTGTTCCTACACTCAGCTCTGGAAACTGGGAACTCACTGAAAGGGAAGGGGTTTGTTCAGTGCCCTGTGGAAATCAGGAGTGGTGGAGATCTAATGACATTTAAGTGGTTTA